ATCAAGCCTACAGAAGATACAACTACGGACAACTACAAGTCCTGTCACAGCCTGCTCACAGGAGTGTAAGAGCAGTGGCAGAACCAACACTTGTCTTGCCACAGCCAACTCACAGGAGTGTAAGAGCAGTGGCATCACCAACCAAAGGATCTACCGACTACATCACCATCGAACCATAATCGACCGTGACACGTCCAGGTCCAGTGGAGCCCATCAAGTTGGAGCATCCACAACTACTACAGAATACTTCCTTACAAGTATCCAAACTTCCAAGGGCTTCCAGCCCCAACTCAAAGTATCATTGTGGCAAGGAACTTCCTCCTAGTTCCGGCTACTACAACAGTTCTCCCAAGTGTCGCTATAGCCTGACTTCCCAGTCTCAGCTACGGCAACACCAAATGACGGTACCAAGTGTACCAAGTGATGACACCAGTCACCACAAGTGACGACACGAGCAGTCACGAGTCTCACATGAGTATAAACACCCATGAAAAGAGGAAACAATAACTCAACCATTTCCTCATTCCATCTTCAGACATCGAGACCATCCAAGAACTGGGTTCAATCGAACCCAACAAGTCCGTGACTTCCAAGCTACATCATTTCCAGCTTCCATGCACCTTCCAATAGGGCATCACTTCCCACAAGTCTACGACTTCCAGAAGCTTCAACCAGCTTCCATCTAAGAAGGGCTTCCAGCCCCATCAAGTGTCAATGCAGCCGAACTTCCCAGTCCGAGCCGCAGGTACACCACGTGACGGTATCATCCGACACCAGTCTTCCAGGAGTGGCACCACTCCCAGCAGGAGTGACAGCCACAAAGACTTTTCTGATGATGACAATGTCCGTATTGTCTCGTCTCCACCGCTCAGCTTCTCGTTACCAAGCGGGATGCCGAGCAACCACTTCCAAGGTTTGTTTTGGACTCATTGCAAGCCAGTGACACGACGACGTAAGACTGGATTACGAAGCCTTTCCAGGTAGGAGCCTGCTTACCCAAGCACTGATAGACACTTTGAGTGCTATCGATTCTCAGGAATCCTAGAGGCATCGTCTCAAGCTCCACAGCAATCCAAGTTGCATCCAATGTCCAAACCAACCAAGCCAGCTTTGGCTACAACAAGTACAAGTCCTGCCACAGCTAGCTCACAGGAGTGTGCCAACAGTGACAGCAGGAGTGGTATTGATAAAGTTGTACCCACCAAAACCAAAGTCTCAAACCTTTTTCAACCTTCCTTTGAATTCTCCGATCGATCTATCCAGATTGACACACCAGATCGACTGACCAGACACGATCATGCCAGATCGAACGACACGAAGCGATCGAATCACAAGCAGCGACCACAAGATCGATTCAGTTTGACTCTCACGATCGACTCAGAAGATCCATCATGAGATTGCAAGTGCGACCACAGAAGCCTATCAAGGCAGAGCAAGCTTACTCAAGCAAGGGTAGCCACACACCAGTGCTACCGGGATATCTTCTGCAGAGGATTCCCACAGTTCCACAGGAACAGTTCCACCATGGAACCAGCTCAAAGCAAGCAACAGTTCGACGGAACGCAACAAGTTGCAAGCACCCATCTACAAGATGTGCAAACCAAGGTCCACATCAAGCAAGCACACATTCATGTACAACAAGTCACAGCCATTCGATTCCAAAGAATAGGAGGCCGTGATGAAGGAAGAAACTTCCCCAGCTGGGAAGAAGAGGATTCCATTCCTCTGGAAAAGACAACAGCAGGACATCCAACACTTCTTGGACATCCAACAAGAAGAGACAGCTCACGTTCCATTCCAATGGACAACAAGCTGACTCCAGATAGCTACCAAGCTATTGCACAGACTCATGCTCACCTGATTTCCAAATCCAGTATCAAGCCTGAATGGATTGATGTTTCCACACATCATTGGCGATTGAGACCATGGCATATCAATGTCCAGTTCAGTCTACACCGCCAGTCAAGAGCACAGTCTGAGTCTACGCGAATGCAGCCGGAACTTCCTAGTTTCCAGCTACAGCAATACCAAGTGACCGTAACTTCCCAGTCCACGGTTCAACAAGTGATCGGAACTTCCCAGTTTCGAATACAGCAACATCAAGTGACGGCACCAACCGCCACAGCAAGTCATACAGGAGTGGCAACACTCACAGGAGTGGTAGCCACAGTTGCTTTTCATGACGACACTGTCCACATGTCCACATTGACTGTGACAGATTTGTCAGCACTGCTATGGATGACAAGCTTCTCGCCACCAAGCGGAATGCCGAGCAACCTAGCAAATGGTCTCTCGACCAACAACTGTTCCTTATGGAGCAACCATCATTACATTAATTATTCGTTCCACGGTATCCTTTATGGAACCGTGCAGGAGTGTGTTGGAGGTTGTATTACAGACACCTCAATACAAATTAGTCGTTTATCCCAATCTAGTTATAGGGGATATCTATATCTATTCTCTAGTTACATACATGGGGTGTTTAACTGATCTATATGGTCACCCCCTTCACTATATCCTTTGAAGTTGAATCAATCCCAGAAAACATGGAGAAAGATCACTTCTTGGAAATAGCTTAACAGTAAAACAGTATTTTACCTTTACTAAGCTAGAGTGTTACTAGCAACCAACACCAGTGGGTTTGGATGGCTTAGTGCTGACAGAAAATACTTTGACTATTCAGAATCTAGAGCTATATCTTCCTTCAACAGCCAAGGGCACTTCCCATCTCTGGATCTGCAAGGCCTGCGACCCTCTATAGTCTTCCCCCATTTTTGCCACCCGAGATTGCACTAATGACTTCCTTGTCCATTATTGAAGTTCCTGGTAATGACATTACTACACTACCAACTGAACTTTATGAGATGACTGGATTGAGAAGTTTGAATGTGCACCAAAATTGGATCATTGGAAAAATTCCCTCGGAAATTTCACAATTGACTTCATTGTTCAACATTCAGTTGGCAGCGAATCAGTTGTCAGGCCAAATTCCCTCTGAGATTGCACGATTGACTTGTTTCCCTATCCACTCTTTCATTGGAATCAAATGAATTGACCGGTCAATTTCCTTCTGAACTTGGGCTACTGACCTCATTGCAGGTGCTCGATTCATGGTCGAATCAGTTGACCGGTCGAATTCCTTGTGAGCTTGGGCTCTTGACCTCATTGGCCGTTTCCATCCTATCAAATAATCAGTTTACTGGTTCCCTGCCTTCTGAGCTTGGGCTGGTGACTTCATTGCGTGATCTTTGGCTTGATGAGAATCATTTGACGGGTCCAGTTCCTTCTGAACTTGGAGAGCTGACTGCTTTGACTTGGTTACAAAAAAAAACTGAACGTCTAATAACGGATTCAGACGAGATGTGCTTGAGGACGACCCACGAGCTAAGGCCCGGATATTTCCCACAGTCAAGTCTGCTCACCGGCCACACTGGCCTCCTGAGAGGGTGCGACGCCTGTTAGCTATCTAAGGATTTGTACACTGAGGTCAGAGCCATGATTCACCACAAATCATGAGCTCTTTGTTGAAGAGAGTTGGGGTTGTTAAAGAAGTTTGAGGGGGTAGGAGGGGTAAGGAAAAAGGGATGGTAGGAATGTCCGACTATCCTGTTTCCAGGGCTGTGGTGTAGTGACTCTCTTGTAACACAGGTTCCCATGTGTTCAAAAATTGAATGATGACTGGTGTATTCAGTTGCATGCGTGATTCGAGTGGTATCTGGAATAGCCATTCCAAATGTTCGGGGACTTCTTGCTGGTATGATTGGTTACAGTTGAGTCAAAATCAGCTCACCGGTCAAATCCCTTCGGAGCTCGGATGCCTAACCTCATTGCAACACCAGCAGCTTGGAGTGAATCAGCTGACCGGTCCAGTTCCTTCTGAACTTGGTGCATTTACTGCTTTGACTAGGCTGTGGTTGAATGTCAATCAGTTCACTGGCCCAGTTCCCAAGGAGCTTTGACTTCTGACGTCCTTGCAAGAGATTCTCCTTTATGACAATCAGTTGTCCGGCAAAATCCCAACTGGAATTGGTGTGATGACATCTTTGACATTGCTGGATCTTCACAGCAACAACCTGACAGGAACTCTGCCCAGCCAACTGAATGAATCTATGGGATTGTCTCTGTATGGGAATCCGTTCTCAGGAACTGTACCAGAACATCTTTGTTCTCTTCTATTGTGTGATTGTTCACAAATTGAAACTCCCCTTGTTTCCACCTGCACTGGTCTCACAAAAGCTCCACCTGGTATGCCTGGGCGGTTTCCAACCAGAGTTGCTGATGTTATGCTCAATATCCAAACTGGTAATTGGCCACTTTTTACATCATGGGCGAGCAGAAGGAAACCAATGGGACTGGTATTTGGGACACACTGGAATCAGGTGGTCCACTGCAAATTAAGAATTATCTATACTCCTCTCTCTTCTCAGTCAGCCCCAGCAGCAGCTACAGATTGATTGTATCAGACACTTGGGGTCATGGTATGCCCTCTGGTTGGATCGCTCTGACGGCCACCAACCAAACAGTGTTGTATTCTTTCCTAGCTGGAGAAGACTTTTATGAAATTATCATTGGCGTTTTAGTTGGAGCAGATGGATCCTTTGATATCACAAATTCTACAACTCTGCAATTCTATTAATAAATATGAAACAGCTCTGTAATTCTAAGGTAACATATTGAACCAATATTGCACTGTTTCATTTTACTGAAGTCGTCTTTAGCTAGACAACACAATCAACGTCTACATATCACCAATTCTACAACTCTATGATTACAGGTTTCAATTTCTATCCGAAGACACTACTACCAACAATTTGAACATTGCCGTAAGGATGGGTTGTGTTTTTTTAATGCACTACAGTTCCTCATTCTATCCAACTGTGATCTATCTTTCTGTGGCATCTTGTTCCTTGTCGTCACTAGCCTAGCTAGCAAGAAGAGCAGTACGGGGCCCTGCCTGTAAATCAATCGCATTGGAGATCGTAAGCTACTAGCTTTGCTTGCTAGCAAACACAGTCACACCCACAGAGTTTGTTGGAGCAGTCAAATTCCATGTAGCAGTTGAATCTCGATGTGTCTCCTCCGGGACCATAGCCACAGGATGCATTCTGATGCATATGGCAAAACGCTTTTGGGATGGTACCTGATAAGCCCGGACTGCCACTCAGGTTGAAGTAGCCAAGTGAAGTCATCAGGGCCAGCTCCGATGGAAGTGATCCGCTCAGTTGTGCCAAATTGGAGAGATCAAGCTCCTCCAGACCTCCAAGCAGTCCAACCTCTGATGGAATGACACCAACGAAATTGTTGCGTCCCAGATGCAGTGTACTTAGGGATCTTAGCATGCCAAGCCCAATGGGAAGAGAGCTAGCGAAGGCGTTCCCCTGCAAAGACAACCACTTGAGCGCTGTCATCATTCCAATCTCAGTAGAAACCTGTCCTGATAGATTGAAATTGCCTTTCAGGTTTAGTGACTCCAACAAAGTCAAAAGACAAATCTCGCTAGGCATCCTTCCAGATAGTGAATTGTGGTGTAGCCATAGCCTGGTCAAATTTGAGGATAGCTGTGCAAGTTCGCTTGGAACGACTCCGGATAGAGAATTCACGTTGAAATACAGTTTGTCAAGAGAATCCATCAAACCAATCTCACTGGGGACTGAACCAGAAAGCAAATTGGCGGGAAGGAACATGGTCGTCAAAGCTGTCATCCTTCCCATGTCACTTGGCACATGGCCAGTTAACAGATTGGCATAGAGGAAAAGGTCAATCAAGTTGGTCAGAAATCCCAACTCGGAGGGCACGTTTCCTGTCAAGCGGTTTGTGTTCAGGATAAGCTCTGTCAGACTTGTGAGCATGCCCAGTTCTGTCGGGATGGATCCTGTGAATGCATTCTCATTGAGCCATAGTGACGCCATGCTAGTCATCATGCCGAGCTCACTTGGGATGGAGCCTCCCTGTAGTGCTTGGTAAAAACCAATTTGTGTCATCTTGGACATCAACCCCAACTGGCTTGGAAGGGTTCCTTTGAAAGAGTTCCAGCTCAAATCTAGAACTTGCAACGTTTCCAATTGGAACATTGCCGATGGAAGCATATTGTCGAGTGGGGTCTCGATTTCATTTTCGACCAATACGATTTTTGACAGGGATGTCAGAAGTGCAATTTCCGGTGGAATAACTGGCGTTCGTCCCGCAAGTTGTAGATTTTGCAGGTACAACGAGACAAACTCCCCACTCTCACTGCAAGGATCAACTTGTATGGAAGCATCCACTTCTCCATATTCTCCTTCCAAGAAGAATCCAAATCCATTGGAGAACCACATACACTCCTCCTTTGTGTCGTCCATCCATCGCTCACGGATTAATGGATACCACCGTTCTCCTTCAAAGGAATAGTAGAATGTGGCCAGAGCAAACAGCTGCAGCTTCCTCCAGTGGGGCAAATTTGTCAAGTTTTGGTGGTTGGATAACCAATCCCACGCTTTGTACTGAGGAGTGCTGTAATTGTTCATCTTCTGGAGCGTTTCTTCCGGTAAATCCAATTTTATCCAATCCATGGAATTAGTGGGAGAACTGGAAGGTGCTTTGGAAGGAGCAGTGGAAAGAATCGCGGGCTCCTTTGTTGCCAAAATGATGATTTGTTGTTGTTTGCTTTTGTTCATGTACGCCTTGTCAACACAGAGAGATGTGGCCAAGATGAACAACGAAAACGCAATGATCATATATCCAGCTCGCCGGCATTCCTTTTCTTTTTGTTGTTTGTGTGCCTGTTTCAACAACTCGGAATCATCCACTTGGTGGGCTCGTGCCATCGTGACGGATTCCTCGTCTTTCACCATTCTGGCTTCCACAAGATCCTCTTCGACTTGGCCTTGCACACATATCTCGGCTTCTTCTTGTTCTGCGGGTTGGGCTTCTGAGCCACAGATTGGTGGCAGATAAATCTCCTCTTCTTCGAATTGGTCCTGGCCGACATGCCAGTCTACTGCTCCTTGATTCTCTTGGCGGCGCCTCCCTTTTGGTTGATTCTTTCTCAGACCCCGAAATCCAACCATCCCTGAGTTTAGCCGCGCATTTCCAGTAATAGCCTGCTGGGATTCACAATAAGCAAGCCTATTATTGTTGCGTCGCGACCCGTTCTTGCCCAACCCACGAAGACCTACATTGTTAGATCGAGGGGCAGCAGACAAGTCAGAAGAGTTATCCACGTCAACTGTAGGAGATCCTTTCAACCCTCTCTTCTTCTTCATACTAGCTATCGTTTAGTCTTGGCTGACTCGTGAATCCACTGCCCGGCAGTAAATCTAGCTTTGCCGACTTCATATCTCAATAAGAGAGCACCAACGCTTGACAGCCTGCCTTTGAACCTTCCAGCACGTCTTTTTGGCTATACAGACGTGTGGTTTATTGACTTTGTCTTCATGTCTGTAGGTAGGTAAGGCGCTACTTCGTCTAAGTAGTCGTCGACTGCCGGGCAGTGGATCTGGGCGCGTAGAGCCTGGTAGGCGATCAACGCGGGCTTCCGGAACAGATCGACGGATCTTTATTCGTCCATTGCAATGCGACTGATGCACTCACAATGACAGGAAATTCAACACAATCCCACCATGAGCGACACCTCTGACAGCACCGATGAGGAGTCCTGCGGCCCTCCCATGCCCTCTCTTAGAGGCAATGGCCCGCCTACCGCTGTTGTTGGCAACTTCATGTCTCCTGGATCGCATACTTCTGACCTAACAAGTTCGACAAGAAGTCGACAAAATCGTGGACGTGAAAATGTCACTCCACTCCAAACATTGGCATCAGCGGCATCAAGAAGACAGGTAACTACACCACTTCGCAATATCACCAACAACGCCACGAGAACGAGGCAGTCAAGGACTATGAATGAACAAGAGCAACAAGTTGATCCTCCGGTGCGATTGACCGCAGAAGAAGAGGAGGAAGCTTTTGATTTAGATTGCCGAGCGAAGGCAACAAATGACGACTCTGATGATGAAGGCGAGCTAGCAAAGGACGCTATGAGGGAGTTAACAGAAGATGAGCTGAGTCCTCCTGGATTCTTGGATGAAGAGCTGGCTTGTATTGCGTCTTCCATCCAGTGGCGACCAGGACGCACTACGGATCCTGTTGGCAAACGAGACATCATTATCCCTGGTGCACACCCGGAATGGAGGCCACCAGGTGCCCCAGTTGACTGGGAACCTACTCCTAAGGCATCTTATGAGCCGGCGTTTGTTGATGTTGACAATCCTGGCAACTGGAGCGAGTTTACTTTCAGGCCCAAGTTTGAAAGCAAAGGCAAGGGTAGAGCACGGAAAAGAACCTACATGTACCATTCATTGCCAACGGGAGCGACTCCTGTTCCCCTCAACCACCAAAACAAGCGTGTCTGTGGAGGATGGGAATTTTTCTATGATGGTTGGGAGAAAAGTCTGCCCACATATCGCTCCGGAGCAACCAAGAACAACCTGTTCCCTGATTCTCGAAAGGGATCTCTCAGTGGTGAGACGCTGGCCCATCTCGGCCTATCAAAAGAGAGGATGCTGGAAGAAGATAATGCTCCCGATGCCCTTTTCTTTCACCAGTTGATTCTTCCAATGTGCGATACTTCCATGAACGAAAATGATCCACGCTTGTCATTCTACAAACCGGTAGCTGTCAACAGCAACACCTACGCTATCACTGAGCTTGATCTTGGGTACGGATACTTCCACAACTTCCGACCAGTGTCCATTCAAGAGTTTGTTCGATGGGATGGATCTGTCATCCAAGATGGAGTTTTGGGTGGAAGTGATGGTGCCATCCTCCGCCGCTTTGAGAAGAGGCCAGATAATTGCCAGTATTGTCCTCTCGTCAACAGTGCCTTTGGAAAAACACGCTGGCTGTTGATCAAGCGCATCTACAAGCTTTGCAACAACCTTACAGTGGCAAAGAAAGGTCAGCCCGGATATGACCCTTGTTACAAGTATGATTACATCTACAAGACTATCTGCCACAATGTCAACGCCATCACCAAGTTCGCAGGTCTTGATCTTTGTGGAGATGAGACTTCTTGGCCACATCAAGGCTACGGAGAAGCTGGCGCTGGCAATCTGGGCAATGTTATTGGAAAACCTGGCATCTCCCGTGGAGGACAAACTGTCTTGTGTGTTGATGTCGACCGAATTCGTCCAAGAGCATACGTCCATCGACACAAGGTCCACACATTCCCCTTCTCGCTGAAGGGGCCAAGTGAGCTCCGGATGATCTACGAACGGCTTAAGCCCATGATCGATGGTATCCTCGAAAACGCCAACGTGGAAGATCGCAAGTCTATTATCTTTCGACAACAGCCCCACATGACATGGGATAACTACTTCAGTGGCGATTGTATCATGGAATATGCTGCGGAAGAGGGCTTTGGTCTCACCATGACTTGCAGAAGGGATCGACTACCAAAAGCGGTGGCAGCCAAGTACTGGTGCAAGGAGAAAACCGATGGCAGTGTGCGTCCGCGAGCGGCAAGATATGAAAAGCCCATCTTCGCTGTCAAGAAGCATGGCAATTCCTTGTTGCAGATGACATCATTCCAGTCCACATCATCCTGCAATATTGCCTCGGTTAACGCACACAACTCCATGAGTCTCTATGTGTCTAACAAGGAGCGTGGAAGGGGCAGCAACAAATACCGTTGGTACATTGAGATGAACGAAGCGCGGCAACTCTATCTCAAATCCTACAATGGCGTGGATAAGCTGGATCATTTGATTCAAAACTGTAACATGGGCTACCGGTAAGTCAATTTGAATCGCTCTTGCTATTATTTTCGATGTTCTAACTATTTGAATTTGTTATCTCAAATTTCTATTATTTCCTCAGCTCCTGGAAGTACTGGCACTCACCGATGCTCCACGCTAAGGCCATGGCTGTTGTTGTTGCGTATGACATCTATCTTGAAGCCTGCGAGGGTAAGCTCCAGGGCTTGGCTGATTGTCGTCTTAACAAACCTGTTTCCTTCTACCGCTTCCGAGAGAAATTGGCGAAGCAAATGTTGGAATACGCCCCTCGCCATTGCCGTTATCTTGGAGATGAAAAGATGCGCGATACCACCTCCACACCGAAAGCCAAAAGGAAGCGCTCAAGATCTCCTCAACGCAACAATAATCGACCTGCGGACGATGAGTTAACCACAGCCTCTGGTGTCAGTTTGGATACTTTTTCAAGCAACAACCACGGCGACCGACTCTGCGGATTCATTACTCCTCTCCTCGAGCATTATGAATCATGCAACACCATGGCCAACAAGAAGAAGTTGAATTGCGTCTTCTGTGGCAAGCCTGCATACCAGTATTGCGAGCTTTGTGGAAAGGCAGTGCACAAGCATCCGCAGGAGAAGATTGGCAATGGCAGAACCTCCTGTTTCCTCCATTATCACAACACCGCGGCAATGGGATTGGCTCGTGACGATTGGAAGATCACCGGCAAGAGGCTCAAAGATTGGAGTTATCCAACTGCAACAGAATTCGAGGACAATGAGCAACAGATGAAGCGGCTCTTGGATGAGATTGGTTCTCGATCCAGCAGCAACAATAGTGGCACCAATAGTGGTGGTAGCAGCAACAACAGCCATGGTTCGGATACTCAACAAGCCACCCCCCAACATTAACAACGGCAAAGATTGGTATTCTCACTCCTCCGGAGTGGTTGGAATATGCGAACGCCACTGTTCAGGAGTGACACTCCTTAGTAGTGCATGCCACTATTTGGTTCTTCGTAGCATTCTAGTAGTAATTTCTATGTAGCATCAACAGTGAATTGAGGAGATGCCACTGCTGAGTAGTCGATTCTTTGAGCCCAGACTAAACGATAGTAGTATCAACAACTCAGTCTTCGTTGACTATCCGGAGCCTTGCTTCGGCTGCATGTTCTGTCGCAGGTAGCTGCTTTTCGGTCTGGAAGATAGTTTTAGGCTGTACCAATACTATAGGATGTGGTAAATCAATCTAAAAGCACGACGATAATATTACCGCATCTACTGGAATCCAAAAAGCTGTCTTCCTGGGCTTGGAGAGGAAGGTGGTCGGAAACGCCGACGACCATTTTCTTAAAACCAGGTACGGTGAACCGTTATTCTGCAGCGATAGCGCATCCGAGCAAGCTTTGCCAAATCCGCTGAAGCAAGATGATGATCCATCCGATTCATACTAGATCATCCTCTTCCTTCTCCTGGCCGATACGGTAGCCGCTTATACTACTCTGGTGTATGCTGTGCCTCTCGGTGGCGATCTGCCGACTACTGTATGCTGCCCCTTTCACTGGTGGCCACAAACTGCACCATGTAAATTCTCTGGCACACACACACTTCCCTTCCACATGAAATTCCTTCTTGGTGCCAATTTTGTGACAGATCGCTGAGGAAGGGCACCCATCGTATCACGGCCACGCTAAACAATCGTTGCCATGATGTTGTGGTTGGGTGAAGTGGTACGAATGCGGGCGGGTGATACCATACTGAAGAGCAACATGTGCATCATTTTTGCTCAGCGGGAGCGTGGACCTCTGCCGTTGCCAGGCGTTGTCACTTCCAGAGCCGTTGTTTCTCATGAAACGCATTTACTCGTGATACCGTATTGCTTGCTGGCCTTTGAGCTTGTCCGAACTTGTCGTTGGCGCAGATCTCGAGGAACGTAACAACAGCAGCAGCAACAACTCCACAACTCGCAACAACCAAAAGTTCCCAGAGCAAGAGCCACTATCGGCTTCCTACGGTACGGCACTCTTCCAAATCTTGGGCCGACCGCCCTTAATAGCTAGAGAATACTTGTTGCCGCATACCAGTGTAGCCGGAGCCGACTACCTCACCCGCCAAAAACAACACAAGCTGACTGAGGAAAAGGATCTTGTCGGCCAGAATGGAAACAATCATTCAAGTGCTTGCTTACATCAAGGCAATAGGGCTTATTGTAACGAAATGGCTAGTTGGTGTTTTGATTGAGAAAATCATAGCCAAGTCAGCAGGAGGCGAGAATGGAGCATTCGACAGCTCGGGCTCAAAACTGCATGAGTTTGTGTTCTTGACTCATCTCAGCTTTGCTACAGTTGCCATACTTGCTGTTGTTGTGGGAGTAATTTTGGCAGTTGTCTCATCCGCCACATCATCCTTGGCACTCCTCCACAGTGCCAAAGTTGGACGAAAGTTACGAAAGCAGGTCTTGCACCAAGTAGTTGGGTGGGACAGTATGACCAGCGAAACCACAAGCAGCAACAAGGACATTGGACAGACTGCCAATGAACTGATCCTCAAGGTCAACCTGATTGAGGACTACTTGGCCTACGAGGCGCCTCTGGTCCATTACAGCTTGACCGTGTTGGTACTCTCCTTGGCACTCACCTTTCTCTTCCTCTGGTATGGTGGAATCATTGCGGTGGTTATGGTCATCATTCCAGAGATTAGCACAAGAATCTTCAACATATGGCGAGAAAAATGTGACCTTCTTGTGGAAGCGAATGCTGCCAAAGTGAATGCACGCCTCCTGGATGTGGTGAAAAACGGAGTGAGAATCAAGATCATGGGCATGCAGAAGCACGAGGAAGATGCTCTGGATAAACTGCAAAAAGAGAGTGACGACCCACGCCAACAAGATGCATGGCTCAAGTTTTGGACGGACATTGTAACATTCAGTTGTACTTCTCTGGTGCCAGTGATCATTGCTTGTGTATCCCTGCCTTTTATTGATCGAGCCGCAGCCACAGACCCGGCCGCTGCAATGCACACTGGCTTTGCCTTCCTCGCGGCAATCCTATTGCTCGATGAAGCTCACAAAAGCATCATTTACTTATCTTTGACTGCTGACAAGTCGGCCAGCGCTGCTCAAGCACAAGCTACCATCGACTCATTCCTTGGATTAACCGGCAATTCAAAGGAAAGGAGCACTGATGATGCTGGCAAAGACGATGGGACCTCAAGCACCGATGCATCTGACTCACTGGCTGTGGCTGAAGAGGGTGGACAGCAACCGAACGAAGACAATGAAGTCTTTGCCGATGAAGCAGGCTCAGGGACCGCAAACACCAATGCAACTGACTCACTGGCTGTGGCTGAAGAAGGTGGACAGAAACAGAATGCAGAGGCTTCTGGCAAGGAAGATGCATGGAAAGTTGTATGCAAAGAAGGAATCGATCGGATCATTCTGGACAATGTTACTCTGGCTTATCCCCGTCGCCCAAAGCCTGTGTTTTCCAAACTAAACTCTTGGTTTAGTCAGGGCAAGATTCATGCTCTTACTGGGGAGAGTGGCAAAGGAAAGTCTTCCCTGGTCAAGATCCTTGCAGGTCTGCATATGCCACAGCATGGCACCATGACCACATGGGAGGGAATGAAGGTTGCCTATGTGAGCCAGGATCAAAAGCTGTTCTGTCGGTCCATCCGCGAAAATGTATCCTATGGTACTCCCAAGGACACACTTTCTGGTGATGATGAGATCTGGGAAGCACTGGAATGGGCCAGCATCTTGGATTGGGTAGAGACATTACCGAATGGTCTCGATGAAGTGCTGACAGGTGGAGAAGAAGATGTGAGCGGTGGGCAGTTGCAGAGGCTACAGTTGGCACATCTGTATTGCACTTGCCAACATGTGGATTTAGTCTTGCTCGATGAAGTACTTTCTGCATTGGATCCTCTGAAACGAGAGCTCTTGATTGACCGTCTTGACGATTTTCTTGGTGACAAAACAGCTGTCATCGTAACTCACCACACCGAAATGCTTCGTATCTGTCATGCGGAGCTTTCACTTAAATGAAAGGCTGCTATTCCAAGCAACCAGTGCCAAGAGAGAAGACAAAGGGAAAGCTACCGTCGCTCTGGCATCTGTACTGTTGGCCAGCCATGGATGAGCTTCCACGACCTAGGTGATAAACAAGGAGAAGTTTGGACTCTGGCGACGATGGGTTTCAGAGGAGGAGGGCAGGATGCAAGAGCGCGAACCGAACAACCTACTAAGTAATTCATAGGAACGTGTTGCATTTTTACCTTAATACTATGCTTGGGTCTGTATCCTAGTTTGTTACATCTTGCAGTGACATTTCAACTTTACATCCACAGCTGCTAGCTGCTGAAAAGGACAACGGAGCAACCATACTTGTCCGGGCTGTATACCATGCTTGCTGGATCTCAGAGACAAGCTCTTGCAAACCTGCTATTCCGGTTGGCAGAGACAATTTTCATGGACAAAGCTCACAAGGCACTGGGTAACAACAATCTTTTGCACCACCAGACCTCCTTTTAACTCAACTAGCAGTTGGGTCGAGTCAAGCTTGTCAAGCATGGAACAAACAGATTCTTGATGTGCCTTGTGCACAATAATATGTTTGAAATGGCCACAATGGCCCCAAACTGTGCAAGCGGAACGAATGTTGCTGAAAGCGATTGGATGCTGAATGTAGACCCACGAGCCCCTCTACCGCCTCTGCTCAGAAACCACCACGTGTTGACAACGGCTAAGATGCCGTTCGCTCAGGGCTTGCAATGGTTTCTCTTTCTGCATTCGCTTCGCTTCGATTTGTTGTGTCGAAACCGTTGCCGTTGCGACCAAGAATCCGGTAGTGTTGTCGCCCCCTAGCTAGTATGCGACAAGGTCAGACCCCCAGGAAGCTTGTGGCTGGAATCCACGTTGACTATTGTAGGCGATCCAGCCATTTCTGATGAGAGAGGTGGCAGAGATCAGCGCCAAAAGCAGAACAGACTTGATTTTGGGAGCATCTTCACGAGCTGCTTTCGACGAATTTGCATTATTTGCAGGGCTGGTCGTCAAGGAACCATTTCAGGCAGAACTGGCTGAATACGCTGCCTCTAACGGGGAGAGTGATGCGAGCTGGTAGCTAAAAAAATGGGCCGAGCTTAGTACGCTAGGGAACTATGCAACTTTGGATGATCGAATCAAGTGCGGTACTAGCTAGTAGGCAACAATCTTTGCTCTTGCCTTTCCACAAGTCCACAAGCTTACTGAATGTTTACCACATCCTCGCGAGTAACAAACGTTTCCAAACCCGACGGCACCGTACCGGTATGTCTGCGCTTGGGGGAACCCGATGAGGCCTGCATGCCTGCATGTATTGAATCGAATGATTCAATCAAAATAGTTCAAGTAATCCTTCGGAAGGTTGTCAAGTCCTTTCAATCTCCTGTCACAAGGTTTCTCAGCTTCCAACCTGCTTCAAGCAACATGTCGGTAGTATGGATCCCCACAACCCAGACAATAGAGCTCCTGCTTGACGAGCTGGGCCAGGGTCTTATTGAGAGTGCAGTGAAGCTCTCGTTGCATGTAAGACGATCTAGGCCCAACAACCTCACAAGAATACCTAGATCTCAGGTGCTCTCAGACTACGGTACCTACTAGCTAGCTAGAAGAGTTTGGAAATCACACAACGAATTGAATCAGGAACTTGACTAGTGCTATTACGTTCAGCCTCTACTAGTAACTGGCTATTAGCTGCTAAAGCACCAGCCAGAATGCCAGTCTCCCAAACGCCAATTTGGTACCAAGTGGATTGTTTTCTTTTGTTTGTGTGTGTACAAAAGATAGTTTAAAGCCTTCGTCCACGTCGTCCGGACTTGCGGCGTGGTTCAAGTAATCCTTCGGAAGGTTGTCAAGTCCTTTCAATCTCCTGTCACAAGGTTTCTCAGCTTCCAACCTGCTTCAAGCAACCACCTGGTCCAGGAGATTTGGATTTGTTTCCTCCGGTACCTCTGACTTTGATGTGAAGTGCGGTGATTCCCAGTTCTTTGCACCTGGCGGCGACATCTTGGGCGGCAAGCATGGCGGCGTACGGCGAGGATTCGTCACGATCGGCCTTGACCTTCATTCCTCCTGTGACACGGACCAGAGTTTCTCTTCCCGAGAGATCCGTCACATGAACGAAAGTATCATTGAAGGAAGCAAACAAGTGGGCTACACCGAATACTTCTTCGCCTTCCAAGAGGCGGACGCCTCCCATCATTTGTGTGGCTCCTTCTGTGGCTCCTGTGGCTCCTGCTTCGCTGTAATCATGGAGCATTCAACAAGACAAGACAACAAGGGATGAGCATGACGATGAGAACCGCGTGACATCTAACTAACACTCTACTCTGCTCTCATCCGATCTACTTACGCCATGGTGACTGTTTATCTATCTATTCTGGAATGAAAGTTGGGACTATCAACGTGCTAGCGCAGATGTAGCAGAGCAAGAGGCTTGGGTCGAACAGATCGATGCCTTGACGATGTTGCGTTGATGAAGGGGCGGTGTGTGGCTTCGTGGATTTGTAACATTCAGATTTAGTAAGTGGTAAACGTGAGTCCGAAACATTTGAGTCACGTTTATTAACCTCAACCCCACTGTAGTTTGTCCTTTTCTTGACAACCAACGATCGAGCTTCTTTTCATGCACCACTCACAAGACAAAAGCCCGAACCAAGTAAGTCAATAGAAAAACAGAACAACCATGACGGCGACTACCTCTGCCACAGCGGCTACTGCTACTGATGGCGACCAAGCCCCTACTACTACATGTGATGATACACTCGATTTCCAACCGGCCCTGCCCGTGGATCGCGATTGGATCAAGAAATTGATTTTGGAACATTCGTCGAATCCATGCAATGGCAAAGGCTTGGTGGTGGCGCCCATGGTGGATCAATCGGACTATCCCTTTCGACTCTTGTGTCGTCGGTACGGCGCCAATGTGTCGTTTACACCCATGATGAATGCCGGTTTGTTGGTGCGGCAACAGTCCTATAAAGAAAAGTTTCTTCCCCGTCAACAACACGCCAACGATCGACCTTTGATTGCGCAATTGGCTGGACACGATCCTCTCATTTTGGAACAAGCCGCCAAGTTGTTGCTGCCCTATGTGGACGGCATTGATTTGAATTGCGGATGTCCCCAGGGCATTGCCAAACGAGGATTCTACGGAGCCTTTTTACTGGAAGATGAACAAGTGCTCCTAAAATGTGTCAAGCACTTGGTCAAGACCATTTCCAAACCGGTCACGGTCAAAGTACGAGTCTTACCGGAAGGAGACGATGCATCCTTGCGATTGTACCACAAATTGGCCAATTGTGGCATTCATCTACTCACCATTCACGGACGAACACGACATCAATTGCACGTGCAAACGGGAAAGGCCGATTGGAACATTATCCAACGAACTGTTCAAGAATTGGGACATCGCATTCCCATCTTTGCCAATGGCAATATTGGAAGTTACGACGATGTCCAACGTTGTTTGGACGAAACGGGCGTCGATGGAGTCATGTCCAGTGAAGCACTACTGGAATATCCTGCTCTCTTTGACGCTACTGCCATGAGAATGGGACGAATACAAATGGCCAAGGAATACTTGCTGCTCGCCAAACAATATCCACCTCAAATCGGACATCAAGGAAGTGGCATCAAATGTCTCAAGGCACACATACATCGATTCCTACATCCCGATCTAGAATCCGCATTCAATAGTACCGACCATATTCTACGACAACGAGTCGCACAAGCGGCCGATTGGCAAGTCTTGTGGGATACGGTAGAATTCATTGAACAAAAGCAAAAGCAGGAAGAACACAAGGTGGAAGAAGAAGAATTGAGTTGGTACATGAGACATAGAATCACGGTCACGGACGCACACGGCAATCTCATGACGGCACTCGAATTGAAAGCTCTGTCTGATACAGGAGCCAAACTCGCACCCAAGTACCTGGAGGACCATTGTGGAGACGACGAACAAGATCCCGCTGACATGGGTCATTCCCTCTTTACTGCTGGTGGAGGTGATGATGATGGAGATTATTGAACTAACATTGTAAACATACGTTACTAGAACGCAGATAGTCCAGAAGGCGAGTCATCTTGGTACTCCTCTCTGGCTACCAGTATTTGTTTATAGCTGGCTTTCGGACGGCCAATGACTTCCGTCAATTTCGCCCTTCAACACTCAACAGCACGGAAATCTCACCGACCAGCCGTCCTTACGATTCCGGTACATACCGGTACACTACTACCGGTACGGAACTGTGCTACGGTACAAATGATTGCACAAATACGCGAAGAAGCATTGATTACATGTAATAGTCTCGTAGTCTTGTTCTCAGCGGTATCTGTGGACGACCAAATGACTTTCCGCCTACTTCGCCCTTGAACAGCATGAAAAAGGCACTTGATTCAGCAGCCGTCAGTACGACACACACCGCTACATACACTACTTTTGTGCTACAAATGTTTGCACAACACAAATACGCGAAGAAGCATTGATTAATATTATAATTTTAAAATGTACTAAACAGGTAGCAAATCGTTGAAGCATTTGGGCAGCTCCAATGATTGCGAATGATGAATATCCGGTACCGGAACTGGTCGCTTGTGCTCCATGAATTGTCGTTCTCGGTCCATTCGTTGCGGTGTGCAGTAGCCCATCACACGATCATAGTCATCAAAAACTGGATCTACCGGAAAGGGCCAAGTGTGAAGTCCGGCAATCCCAAACACATCTTTCAAGGGAATGGGTTCTTCATCACTCTGGTTCATGGTATTGGTTGCTTTCTTCTTCAGGCGGTCAATCGTACCAATACCCGTCATGAGACCATAACATACATTCATAAGCATACTGGAGGTAAACAAAAAGGCGCCAATGCCCAACAACGTCATGACGCGAACCAAATGAACAACCACCGGATGAAAGGTACAATCTTCATCCGCACAGAAAAAGTAGTTCCAACCAAACAGGGCCAATGAGTACGCTGCACATGTCCATGTGTACAGCAAAAAGAGAAGAAAGTGTTCTGTCGCACCAACAAGAAGAGTAGAAGCGTGTGAGTGAATGGAGTGGGTGTGCATGACACTACTCCGGCACTCTGTCTATATATGACTTGACTACTTACTCAGATTGCCGGCGCCGACACAGTTGTTCATCCAAGGGCAATGATGGTCCATCCGACTAATACATCGATTGCAAATACGGCAATGATGGGACATGGGTGGTTTGAATGTCTGACACTGTCCGCACATGGAATGGCTGTCCTTCATGAGACGTTGTCTTTCGCTGGGAATGGCTTGGATGGGTACACTTCCTGGATCTGATAATGATGTTTTTGCGTGGGAAGACAATGCCATTACACATAGCATGTTATAGACCATCCCCAATCCTACAGGGATCCCTTCTGTGATGGTCAAGAGTGTCACTGTTACTGCTGAATAGAGCATGAGCAGCCAGACTAGCGCTGACATGATGGTTCCTGCTTGATCACTGGAATTGAACCAGATCCCATTCTGAGATTGTCATTGGATGCGTTTGTGTATGAGTAGGTTGTTGTGTCGTCATTGTCAGAAAGTAGACAGCGAAAGAGAGAGAGAGAGAGGCAGATAAGTTGTGAGCGAAGAAGGCTACTTGTAGATGGAAAGAAGATGAACAATGACAGTACTTACGTGTTCCCCAGTTCCAAAGGTACAAGCCCATGGTTGATCATTGAAGCTGTCAATGTAGTATTCTCCTCTCTCTCGAATACGCGGGTATGGCTGTGGTTTGCGCTTTCCATGCGTTGTGTCATCGTAGGTGTAATCATAGTCCAAGTACTCTAGCTTTTGTCCACCACACGGTATACAGAATAATGATGAACTACTTTTGCCTTTGCTGGCTGTGGAATGTGCACCGCCGACTGACTTGTCCACGCCGCCGCCTTGTTGTGGGATGAATTTGCCAGATGACGCCATTGTGGCGGTGCCGTGATGTTGCTTGTTGTCGTATTGGACAAACACTTTGGCTGTTTGTGCTCTTTTTCGTTCGTTCTTGGGTTGTTGGTTTGTTGGCTTTTTGTTTTGATTGAGATCAGAGGAGAGACTGCAGCAGACTAGCTAGTTGCGCTCTTTCCTTTTCTTCCTCCACACCGAACAATCACACAACAATGACAAGTAACTTCCGTATCCGACGGTGAACCACCCCACACACACGTCGCTGATTGTTGTTCTGCGTCAATGCTACAGTACTACTCTATGTCTGACTTGATGCAAAGACGATATCATGCAGCACTACACTGACTGACTAGCTAGCTGTCTGGTGGTGTTGGTAACAATGGTGCCGTGCCGTGGTGGGTCGCAGTGTTTACAAGCTAGCTGTTAGTACTGTCAGTCTTCTCTGGGATTGGCTTGCATTGCACATCAAAAACCAGCGGAAATGGAGCCAACCTCGTTTTGTGGAGGCCCGCCGGCATGGCCAGCTCCCCCAGTCGTGCTGGCATTGGATTCTACTAGTTAATCTGGTGGCGGCAAGCCGATGTTGGCGAGAGGATCTAAATGTTCACGGAACGAACGGCAAACAACCGAGGATGCAAGGAAGGCTGACTGGCGTCATTTCTGAAACTCGCACACTGGTTCCTTACCACCGGAACCTTCATTTCCACGGTGAGGTTTCCTACAGTGCCGCCAGAACGAATGTTCCAGCCATTGGAGCAGGGCATTGGCCAAAATGATAAAGGTAAAGCTCCTCAGTTAGTCCTGCAATGTGCTAGCTAGGTGATGGTCCTGGAGTGGATCCTGGTTTAGATCCTGGTGTAGGAATTGGCAGGAGTGTGGCCTGGAAATCGCATGGATCGGGGGAAAGTCCCAGTGTTGGTCCAGCCGTAGGGCTCGAGCCACGCCTTGTTTTCAAGTGAGATCCTGACATGGGCCTGGAGTGGTTCCTGGTGTTGTTGTTTCGGGTGAGAAGCAGGCGTGTGGCTGGAGCTTGGCTAGTTGTTTGTCCAGGAATGCATGAGTCGCTCAGCTACACCTGTGGTGGTCCCAGTGCTCTACTTCTTCAGGCAGCAGCACTCTGTCTCAGGGGTCTCAGCGTCATTGCTCTAATTGCACTCATAGAACCATTCTTTTTACTAGCTAGCCTAATGGGTACCGTACGAATGCGCACAACTACGAAACTGAAATATGCAAACGCTCTCTCTGTACCGATTGGGTTGTCATGCCTCTGTGTCAGAGCTTCGGACCCGGTTGGCCTCGGGCACTCAACACCGCTAGCGTCCAAGCCTCATGTGATTCCTCTTCTGCTGCCTTTCTGCGCAAATGCTCCTGGAAGCCGAACTGCACATCGCACAAAACGCCAGCTCTTGGCTCAAACTCCTGAACTCCCTGAGGTAATAATTTTGGGCCGTCGTATCGATCGCCATCGCACCACGGTACCTGGTACCTGGTACCGGTAGTTGTTAGTTGTAAAGTCAATTAGTGGGAAGATCGAGTGTTCTTTGGAACAAGAACGCAATGTAAGACATGTTTCACCTTTGATGTAAAAGTCGGCCGTGGTGGGCAGGAGCATTACTACGCATGATCTAGGAATCCATCCGACTCCGCTGTTGCCACTAGAAGCTAGTACCGGTAGGATACACTTGACACCGTCTTCAACTTCGAATCATAGTCTATTGTGGAGGCTCCTCGAGGAACCCTAGAATTGGACTGCCCAATGGTCCTGGAGTGGGGGGCGGTGAGTGATGATGCTGCTCCAGGTGTGGGCCTGAGATGGGGCCGAAGATGATGGACCAGGGGTGGGTCCAGATAAGGGACCAGGAGTACAGAAGCAGTTTGCATGACTTAGGCACCCCTCTGCTGTTGCTACCATTAGGACACCCGTGACACCGTCTTCAATTCGAATCAAAATGTTGTTGGGCCTGCTCAAGAAGCTCCGCGAGGAAATTGGAGTTGGCCTGCCCATTGGTACCGATAATGGTCCTGGAGTGGTGCCGGTGAGTGATGATGTTGGTCCAGGTGTGGGCCTGAGATGGAGCCTGAAGATGGACCAGGGGTAGGTCCTGATAAGGGACCAGGAGTAGGTCCAGGCCAAGCCCTCGAGTTTGTCCGTCGTCCCTTCTTGGAACAGTTGGTGGTTCGATGTGTGACTGGCCCTCGGCGGAGCTGTCGGGGTCGGAAGCTCGCTCCCCACGCAACTATTTGAACTTACGTGAAGACACAAAGAAGTTCCATGAAAGCCCGCAAGCTGCTGCACAGCATTCCAGCTGCGGTAGTTTTCCAGCGTCCCACCAAGTATTTCGTCAACACGCGTTCGAAAAGCGCGGGAAGTCATGTGCTGGACTTGTCGGGTGCCGTGGGTTACGTGTCAGATAGATGTAAGGCACTCGGCATTTGAAAACGTGCTTTCGTTGACTATTGCTTGTTCAAAGACGCTAGCTGAGAGTGTTAACTTATCTCCACTAGCTAGTGTATATTGATTGGATGCACCAGGACCATGTTCAGCAGCAACGAAGGATACCTGGGGGTTGTAGCGAGCTCCCAGTCAAAAAAATGCTCCACACCCCCATACTCCAATGAACACAGCAAGTAACTTAGCGTCCCCTCGCAACCTGGATTTCATACTTGGCCTTCACCGGTAGCTTCTCCGTCGCACTTCGATGCTTCAGCCCTAGCTGCTCTTTGACCGCTTCCACTCGCGATAAAAAGACCGACACGAAAGAGACCCCCTTCTCTCGTTGTAGGCACCATCATAATCAAGTAAGTTTACATGAGACAGTCCACTGGAACCGTATCTTCCAACTCTTCCATGAGATCCACATTTTCTTTTCCTTGCTTGGACCGAACATGCGTGACAATCTGACGAATGCACTTTTTGGTTCTTTCCTGCAAGACATGCTCCTTTTTCAAACTTGCGCAGGTCTTATCCAGTTCAGCTTGAATGGTCTTGTTCTCGACTTGGAATTCTCCATATACCTTGTTGAGTTTCTTGTGAATGTGTTGCAACTTTTTGAGACGCGCGGAGACTTCTTTCACGGCAGCTTCCCGTGTCTTGTTGCCACCTTGCACCCGTGAATTGGTCGCTCGTAATCGATCGCACTGCGACTGTAGCTTGCTATTGACGGCTTCCAAGGCAGCAATTTCAGTCCGCAACGATGCTGCCGCATCATCGTCCCCACTCGCTTCGGTGGCGGCTGCTGGCGCCAATCCCATGGAGTTCTCCCGTTCCATTTTGTCTCGAATCGACTGCAGTCGTAGCTTGAGGCATTCTTGAATGTGGGCAATTTCGTCCTGGGTTTCCTTTTCTACTTGGTCCTTTCGTTGTTGCTTTCGTCCCAGCTCGTACCGATACCGTTGCAAGAACATGCGTGCAAAGGACTGAATTCGTGTCGCGGATACAATGCGCTTGACTTCACCTAGACTCATCGATCGATTCAGTAACTTGACGACCTTTTTTCGTTCCTTTTTTTCGCAGCTTTGATTGTCGTCACGTTCGTCCGTCTTGTCACTGCGATCGACCATGGGCATTGAGTTGGGCGCCGCCATGGCTGCAGCCACTGCCGCTTCGTCTTCCTTGGTCATGACCTGTTCCCCCGAAACGGATCGTCGTCGACTTGGCGGTGCTACGTTCTTTCTGCTTCTACGGGCCGCCACTGCCTTTTCAAATACGGATTCTTGGGTGGGTTGTCGTTTGGGAATTCCCTTTGGTTCGTCGACGCGGCTTTCTTGCGTCGTTTGTCGTTGTGGTTTTCGTTGCGTTGGTTTGGGCGAATCGGGTCCTTCTTGAGTCGTTTGTCGTTGTGGTTTTCGTTGCGTTGGTTTGGGCGAATCGGGTCCTTCTTGGGTATTCTGTCGTTGTGGTTTTCGTTGCGTTGCCTTGGCACCACCAGTAGCCCGTCCGACACGTCGAACCGCATTTTCGGGCAATTTCTTTTTCTTGGGTTGTGCCGCCCATCTTGAGACATTTTGTGGAAAGACGGGTTTCTTTTTCTTGCCCGGTGCCGTGGCGGCCCATCGTGGATCTTCTGTAGCTAAGGGTGGTGTTTGTTGTGGCTGTTGTTCTTGTTGTTGTTGTTCCTCACTATTGGTACGTTCATTGGTGGTCCATCGATTGGGTTGTACGGCTTTGGTTGTTTTTGGTTTTCCATATACAACCCGCGGATGTACGGCCCATCGTTCTTTCTGTGGTTGTGCGGGTGGTTTGAGGTAGGACGGTTGTGGCATTCGAAAGCAAATGGGTTTGTCCCAGTAATCTTCTTCCTTTTTCTTGGGCGATACTTGCTGTGAGATCCATCTGGCCGACTCTTGTTTTTGCATCATTTGCTGTCGCGCGGACATGACGGGTGGTGTGGACCATTTGGATTGAAGTGAAATTTCCGATGCCATGGAGTCTTCGAATCCCAAAATGATGGATTGTGGAATGGGCGGATCAGTCGAAGCCATGGTCGAGGACGATTCGTGATCCAAAACATTCGGTTGCGCCGTCAGAGGTACTTTAATGTTTGCCGGAACTCGAATGGGTGAGAGTGTTGATTCCGCACTGGGGAGTCGTTGGGGTCGTTCATTGGTGGCCTTGTTGTTGCTGTTATTATTATTGTTGTTTCGAGTCGATTGTTTTTCTTTCAGTTCCAAGTCATGCTGTTCCTGCAATTGTTCGAGTGACATGGATACAATGGTGTCATCCTCGTCTAGATCTTGTTCGGTTTCTTCAACAATGACATTGTCGTCTTCTTCTTCGTCGCTGCTGCTTTCCGAGCTGCTCCCGTCTGACGACCCATCCGACGACGAGGACGAAGACGACGCCGATTCCAAGGCGGCATCTTCTTCCACGGACTCTTCTTCTTCAAAAGAAGCTTGAATGGCTTGCCATTGCAATTGCTTGACGCTGGCATTCAACTCTTGGACGGCAGCTTTGGCAGCATCCGTATCGGTGATGCGTCTCTTGGGTTCCTCCTCCTCGTCTTGTTTCTTGGCATGCTTGGCTTGCCATGCCTCCGGAACGGGCGAAGACTCGAATCCAAATTCCTTATTCTTTTCGATCGTCTGTTGAAAGACCGAAAGCGAATTTCGAATGCTCTTGACTTGTCGTCCCTGTTTGATTTGTTCGAGTCGTTTGCTTTCCTTTTCTCGTTTTGCTTCGAGTTCTTGCAATTGAATCTGTTGCGTTTCTCTCCGCACCTTGTTCTTCTTGTTGGCAGACCATTGGCGAGATACGCGTTGGATTTTGCGAACCGCGTCGGTGGTCTGGTCCTGACTATTTGCGTCACTATTCGATTTGACCGCCGTGATTTTGCGGGGAGGCGTGGATTCACTGCTCGTAGTCGCCTGAGGTTGTTGTGGTTGCTGTTGCTGTGATCCTTCCGAGGAATCGTCCGAGGCAGTTTCGGTAGTGGTGGTCGGCGATGCCGCGTCGGCTTCTGCATCGTCGTGAGAATTCTTCAAACTGGCCGACTGTTCCGTCTCGGCTGTGCCATCGTCTACATCCCGATCGTCGTCGTCGTCGTCTTCCAACGATTGCAGTTGGGGTGGTTTGCGTACTGGAGACGTTGGAGCCGCCGTTTGTCGTCGTCGTTGTCGCATGGGACTTCTCTTTAACGGACTACGAACAATTTCCATGTCTCCACCACCATCCACCAACTTGGAAGCGGGCACGGTGACCCGACGTCCCTTGGGCATCACTTTGCGCTTGGGTGCTTGTTGTTGTTGTTGTTGCTTGCCATTCTTTTCAATGTTCTGTTCAAACATGGCCCGTGCGGCCGACATGGACGAACGGCCTTTGGGGCGACCTGTTCCATTGGCTGCGGCTGCCACGGTCCCCCCCACCATTACCACTTCTTCTTCTTCCGTTGCACTTCTAGTTGTTGTCGTTGTTGTTGCCTGCTTCTTTTTCTTCTTGCTGCTACTGCTTATCGAAGTGGGGGCTGGACTCTTGCACATCGACTCGACTGTCACTCGACTTGTTAGTCAAAACAAACTCTGGCTAAATAACACTAGCTAGAGTTCGTCTCGTCTTGTGCTTCAATCGAATGGACTCTTTGTCGACCAAACAATTTCAATTTATTTGATCTCTGCCGCCAAAAGGCTTCTTACAAAGAGGGATTGGACTAGCTAGTATAGTATGAGGCCTTCCTTCGCCGTTCTTAGGCTTCCTGCGCTCAATGGCCAGATGATGGATGGATTCAATTGTAAATTCCAAGCCAAGGCGGAAGCTTGAAACACTGTTGTTGCTACCTAGCTAGCTTGCAAAGGAACTAATGCTTCTCAGCATTGATCTAGCTGGCAAGGTTCATACGAGCAATCGACTCTTGCCTACAGTTGCCGTCAAATGTGTTTTGTTGACCCAGTCAGCGTCCGTTGTGGTCAAGATGTTGTGACATGGGCAAAACATTGGTTGTAGTTGCGTTGCTCGGGTTCACCAGTTGCCTATTGTTGACTCACGGTGCGCACCGTGTGAGTTCTCTTTGCTTCTTGTTGACTCTTCTTGCAAGAAACAGCGAGGGTTTGTCGTGGTTGGCGAAGACAAGGTTTGGCAGTGGACCGTCGGCAATCTGTTTGTTTTACCTCACCTACCCTGATATTGAAACCTACACCGTACGAGTTGCCGGAACAGCTTTGGACTTTGGAAGCACTCTTAGTTAGGTTTCGCCCACTCTCCGCCTCAAGGTTATTGTTTGGCTGTCAATTCTCTACCGTACTATACTAGCTAGTACCGGTATGGCATACCGGTACGCCTGGCTGACTACCGTAGGGGAGTGCAAGAGCAGTGCAACATACCGGTATCAGAAAAACAAATACTAAGTAGATACGTTGAGGAGCGAGGGGGGCTAAGCTAGGCAGAGCGGTGGTATCGGTAGTGGGTACAACAACATAGCAATCATGATGTACGAAAGCACATCACACACAAGAGAGGACATGCCTTCGTCGAATGTACTGGTACTGGTACTGGTACTGGTACTGGTAGCGTAGGCTACTGATAGCGCACCGACACCGAGTCGAGTCGACTCCATTGCTTTGGCGTTCCCACCACCAAAAGTGGCCTTGTCACCAGAACCTGACCCTACAGAGAATCAAAGAAAGCAAGCAATACATGTACAGTAGTCTACGTTCGGTAGATTGAGAAACTGAGAAAACTCAACCCGAGAGACCAATACTATTCTCAAGGCGGGGTAAATATTTAACGGCGACACTGCTGGACCTTCAAGCGAGCGGTGTGAAGCGTTTACCGGTACTGTAGCTGTTCACGGACGGCTGCGTGAACCCAAGTGTCAACATGATGAATATTGGCTCTTCAGTGAGGTGATGTTTCAATAAGTGGTTGTAATTAGTGTTCCAAGAAGTTGCTTGATCCAGTGTTCCACAACACAGCATCAGGAATTAACAGTGTCGTTTGTCTTCTCCACTGTTAAGTGAATCGTTTTCAACAAGTTTACGTTAGATGGTACCGATCGCCGATCTTGTTAGACCGGTACCGGTACCGTACCTTTGCTTGGGTCCTGGAATGCAAATTGGGGAGACAGTTTTCTTAACAAAGAGGTGATAAAATAGATTTTTTTCTTATTTGCTCCCAGAGTTGAATATGTTAGGCAAGGGAG